CCCCCACGGGCGACGTCTTCACTCGACGCTGGAACTACGCTCCGTTGAGCGCCCGTGTCACACAGAAACAGGCTCCCCGAAACGCTGTCGCTGACGAAGAGGAGCCTGCACGTGCCGCCGACGCTCAGAGCCACTACCGAGCGCCGGCCCCTCCGTTTCCCGGGGGTTTGTAGCTGCACGGAGCGATGCATCTCTTCGCCCTTGTCCCGAAACGTGCGTGGTAAACGCACTCTCCGGTGTCTCCACGCCGGCTAGCCACAGCCGTGTCCGGCCTCCGCCACGCTTTCTTGACTGCCGGTGGGCCGCTGAGCGTCGCGGCTAACGTCTCTGCCCCGGGCTGTTGCGTAGCCAGGAAAAAACGATCCGCTTCCTCAGCCAAAGCACGGGGCTCCGTGACAGGCGTGTTGGCCAGCGCCGTCTGTACCCGGGGAGGCAAGTGACGCAGGAAAATCTCCGTGAATAAAATACGGGGATCTTCCCCCCCTAGCAGATTTAGCATTTTCTCCATTAGCTGGGATGGCTTGCTGTCTCCTAGGCCTTGAATGTCAAGTATCTGGCGGGCCCTCTCCTTAGCAGATAAGCTAAATGTCTTAAGGAGAAGGGCCTTAATCGCCTCATATTTGCCATGATGTGGGGGGGCTGCGATGAATCCCACCAACCTGGATGACGTGGAGCTCCCCAGCGCTGCTACCACATGGTAGTATTTTAGGTCCCCGTCACGGACCTGTCGGCAGGCGAAATGTGCCTCCACGTGTGCGAACCATGCCTCCGCGGTGTGCTCCCAGAATTCCGGCAGCTTTATGAAAACATCGCGCTCAGCCATGTTCGTTAATTTTCCGGAAACTTTCTCGGAAAAGTCAGGGTCACCAGTGTAGTGCCGTGAAAAGAGAGTCGGAGGCGGTGTATTAAGAATGGAGTTCCAATCTTTATTATCCATTACTTCAGAGAGGTTAACACATGCACTGCTCTGCCATGATGAGCTAGCAGGAATGGCAGCTAAAGCTACAGGTGTTCCCCACTAAAGGGTCCGTGTGGCAACACAATAAGCAAGGTGAATTATGTCCAATAACGTGTCACCACAATATTCTTAATTATGCATTTCATCAAAGCTAATCATCATTCATTCAAGATCAGGATTTGTTTTTATGGCTAAACCTTTACATTTATATGGAAACGATAGGTATTATGAACTTTATAATTCTGAGCAATTAAGCCATTATTTAGCATGTGTGTGAAAACGTTAGGATTGTGACTTGTATATAAAATAGTTTATTGGAGGTTCAACACATTGGAAATACTTCAATGGACTGTGAATAAGTCAAAGCATGACAGAGCAAGCAACACACTCTCACTCCATAATCGTCCAGGAGCGACGTTTGGTCAGGGTCCCGTGGCGTGCAGTTGTGACGCTCCTAGGCTCCTTCAGCTTCATAAAGGGACGCAAATAGCTTTCAACTGATTGCAATGTATTCCCATCTGCGGCGGGATTTGACGCTCATGGAAGCACGGCATTCGTTTGTGTCTGCTGCCCTTAAAGGCAATGTGAGCGTCCATTCTCATTGGATAACGGAGAATTGTACACCCGGAAGTAAGTATTCCTCTTACTGTCGATTGATTTTACAGTGATATCTGCACTACTCATCGACTAAAAAACACCAGATTATCCTTGTTAATTACACAACATTGATTGGTTTAAATTGTGTGCAATGCTTTTGTATTTTCCCCCTTCGATTCGCAGAAACAAATATTTGTTCGGAGTAAAGGATGGCAGAATCGTTTAGGACTACGCCATGTGCTCGTTTGACAAGCCCCATTAGTTCTCAAGCTCTGTGATTGGTTGACCTCCAACTGCATTCCATTCATTCCAATGGCTGGCGTCTATGTCACGTGATCTTCAAATTTCTCCCTGCAGAAAAAAAAATATCGTTTTCATTGTTACCAAGGTGGTTGCTAGGGATGCTGCTATCGATATTATTTATGTTATGTTGTGTAACTGTTTAATGGTGTTATCTTTATTGCTACCCCCTTCCCCGTCAATGTATAGTGTTGGTCCACAGCGCAAACGTATTAGTTTAACAAAATCCGCATCTAAAGATACGTTATTTTCCCATGTGCAATTCCAGTCTCACATCTCACAGCACATCGTCGTTAACAAATACCGGAAACAGACCGAAAACATTTAAAAAAAATAAAAAAATACTTTATTCCGAGTGTGCTTGCTTTTCTCTTTGAAAGTCATCACATAACGACATTGTAATACACGGTTCGGCTGCATTAAATATTACATATCTGCCGTAGTTCTCTATTTATAGAGCCCTGATGAGAAGACTTCTAGACAAACATGAGAAACAGAAAACGTGACGTGGATCATAAATATATCAGCAATTAAACAACATCTTACATTTCTTTTCACACAATACGTCTCCTTACAGTATCAACACTAATTCGGCAGACTTTTATATTTGATACAATTGGTAGATAGGCTGTATTTACACCATAAAGGTGCACAGCTGATATAAATTATATGTTTTAAATGTGAGTGTTTCCTATCCCCTAAACCTCCAGGGATGTACACAGTTTAATACTGGCAACTTATTATTATGGGAAATACGAAAACCTCTTTTAAAACTACAACTTCTAGCGCGTAAAACAAGCTACTCACAAGCGGAAAATGTGCTTTTACACGCGCATAAAATGACCCTCGCGCGCAGATTAAACCCCCTTATGTATGGAAAGCCATTTGCGCCATTATTCGCGCGTAGTTTCGCGCGAATTAACGGGGAGGTCCGTTTGAGTTCAAAATGTCAGTAACCAATCAGTGAAGAGCAAAGCCAGACCAAAGCAATCTGTAGATGAAAAGTTCCTGACATTGTGAAGCTGTAAATTGTACGTTATTCCAGATTCAGGGGATTATGTATTAATTTGCCTTTCAATATAATAAATATATCAATCAATATAACCTGCCTTCATTGTCTTTTAAAATAAAATCTCCTTACCTTACCTTATCTTACTGAAGTGAAGGGTATTTATGTCTCCTTAAATCACCTTTTAAATGTACTTCTTATAGACCCTTTTTGTGTTTGTACACAATGATGACGTAGAACGTATGCGCGCGCATTGTGGCAACAGAAGGATGGCAGAGATAAACAGCTTGTCAAGCTACGCAAGGGGATTATCAACTAAAGATCGTGAATGTTACCTTAACAAGTTGACTTTGACAAATGGTGTCCGACTTCCAGATCCGTGTTCTATTGATGAGTGGGTTGAAGACGTTAGCAAGTGGCCGAATATACAGTGGCCAGATATATATACCTATTTAATTGAGAAACCGAGGGTGTACACCAGAGAGAAATTACGAGCCTATAAATCACTGGATGCTTACGAATACGTTGTCTGTGGTCATGTACAGAACATCAAATACCATGACATAGACTCAGAGTTTTGTATTTTGAGATCAGAAATTCTCCCTAGTCAAAGACAAGGACACAAGACAACGATGTATGAGGCTTGGGTTATAATCAACCAACGAGAAAACTACGTCCTCACAGCGAATTGCACCTGTATGGCGGGGTAAGTAGCCTATTATTTGGTGTTGTGGGCTTGTAGGTAACAGTTCAGGGGTGTGTTACTGTCCTTTCAGCTGGCTATTACTCTCATTTCCATATCAAAAATCGTATGCCTTGCCCTGTAACTTTCTCATCATAACCAGGGTTTGAAACTAACATTTTCATGAACAACAACACTGACAACAGGGTTCAAAATGTCAGCAGCCAATATCATTCAGTTACATTCAAAACCTGATTAAGCTTAGGATACTTACTCACATGTCTAGTAAGTTAGATGTTTACCTACTTCATAGCCAGAGCCGAGATTTGTCTGAGAGCAAATATTACTTTCAAGCCCAGTATGTTTATTATGATTTTGTGAAATTTCAGGCTTGGGTCATGCTGCAGCCATGCAGCTGCAATATTATTCAAAGTTGAGCTCTATGATAGGATGGGAAGGACAGAGAAAGCAGCGGTTACTTCTGGAGTGTGCATGTGGAAAGACATCAGCAGGAAAGAAGTCAGACCAGCTCCATTGAGGGAAATCAGCTTCCACAAACCAAAGAGGCTTGGCAGGCAACTTCCAGCAGCTTCAACATCAAAACATGGAGGAAACAGCAAGACAAGCCTACACTGCATTTATGTCCCAAAGCCATCCAGATTTCAGCATCAGCTCATGTGGCTTAGTAGTGCAACCTTCTGAGCCACACCTTGGATCATCGCCAGATGGGATAGCAAGATGTACCTGCTGTGGCAAAGGGGTGGTAGAGATAAAATGTCCCTACAAATACAGGAATAGCCTTCAAGGATGTACAGAAGACAAGCAGTTTTGTCTGGACAAGTCATTCTCGTTGAAACATTCACACACATACTACTATCAAACTCAACTTCACATGTTTGTGTGTGGTGTTAGCTACTGTGACTTTGTGTTGTGGACTAAGGAGAAGTTCATTGTGCAACGTATCCTAAGAAATTAAGAGTTTCTGCAGGAGGCTTTGCCAAAAGCACATGACTTCTTTAGCTCGAGTGTGTTGCCTGAATTACTGACAAGAAGACATGATCCTGTCTTGGTGTCACAGAGAGCCTGCGAATACTGTGAAAGACCAGATTTTGGTAAAATGATAATCTGTGTCAAATGCAACAACCACATTCACTACAGTTGTGCACACATAAAAAGGAAGCCAGCAACATGGTTATGTAGGAAATGTCAGAGTTGAGGCTTGAATGCCTTCATGTAGGAGTGGGCAATATAATGTATTGTATTGTGATAGGAGACCAGATATGGTGTTAGATGTCAGTTATGGATTGTCTTTCCCTGGTTGTTAAAGTTGCATTACAGTTGAAACAATGAATTCATCATCAGCCTTTTCTTTACATTGATGTTGTTATTGACAGCTGTGTCTAGATGCACTTCAGTGCAACAAGATATTTTAAGTTTTATTCTGTAATGCTATATATGTATCCATAGAGATAATTTGCGACCTAAAATTATTATTTACTGTTTACAACATACAGAACCAGTTTGATTCTAATATATTGTACATACTCCTACTTTCCATGTTGTTAATGTTTAGTGGCACTTTAATGGCACCTGAATGGAATGAAACTCTGTTAGTAACAACATTACAAATAAATGTGATACTGCACTCTGAATTGTTGAGATAATCTGGGGGGGAAAGGACCATTAGACACACCAGTGGCAGCCAATGTGGGGAGGTTTATTAAAATGCATTACGTTTTAAGTACAGTAGGCCTATATACATGTTTTACAAATGTAAAATCACTTTATAAAAGTCATACATGGTTATGTGTAACTCATTTGGGAACAACACTCTTACAGAGGTTTGTGAGGGCACCACATACAATAACAACATAATCTAGTATGTCAACCTGCGACAAAGGAATAACTGTTTGTAAAATCTTAAAGTTTTTCCACCGACCAATAACTCGCTCTACATGGATCCTCACACGAGAAAGTTGTCTAGATGTGTCCACTTCCTGTGCAGAAAGCTGCTTCTTTCCTTTTGTGAAATGAGGGATACGAAGGGTTGCACCATAGGCCGCAAGCTCGTCTCTGATGAGAAATCCTCTGTCTGCTAAAACCTCATCCCTAGGCTCCAAAAGTTTGAGGAAACCTGACTCCTTAGTGATCTGCTTGTCTGAAACCCGTCCACCCCACCCAGGAGACAGAAATGAAATTGCACCAGCTGGAGTGATGCTGATCAAATATTCAATGGTGTTGTTGTGTTTATAGTTTGACCATGTCTGGGCCCTGGAAGTCAGATTACTGGGTCTAGCTATGAAAATGTCTGTGCAATCTATTATGCACCGGCATCTTCTAAAGTTGCGCTTGAATATTTTTGGCATATTTTTAAGTACTGCACCCTTACTTGGCCATTTAATGAGTGGCTTGAGGACCAAGGCCATAGCAGGGACCCAGCTCCGCAAAACATTTGATAAGGTGGTTTTTGATACCTGAAATCTATAAGCCAAGTCAGTATTACATAGGCCCAACCTTAATTTCATCAATAGGTGGTCCTCTACTGTAAGTTTGTTGTGAATTCTTTCTACGCTGCCCATCATTTTTGTAATCAGCCACTCAAAGACCACAGAGGTCAGTCCTGTGAGAAAACTCAATTGTCCAATGTTGCACTTAACAGTGGTGTAGGAGAATGTAGATTTTTGCAGCTCCTCTTTCAGCTTTACATTTTCTGCTCGTAGTGTGTCAAACTCCTGTCGCAGGTTGACATATTCCTCCTGAAGTTGACTGTATTTCAGGTTCAGATCATCATACTCTCTCTTTGGAACTGGGATATCCTCTTCAGCTTTAATATAGAACAGTGAAAAATTAGCATGTGCTGCAACCAATGCAAACAAGTTCACAATTCAGGGGTTCTCACACATTTTTACCAATGAATTTTCAAAACTTTTCCATGACAGAAGAGAAGATACATTATTGATCCCAGGGGGAGATTTTTCCTCTGCATTTGACCCATCCAGGGGCCAGTGTACACGTCACACACAGACATACATAGCAATTGGAGCAGTGGGCCTGGCAGGAGCACACACACACTAGGAGCACACTGACTCTTTCAGTGAGGGTGGGAACCCTGACAATCAATCAGTTAATTGTAAGATGATATATTTATATATTCATAAATATATTCATACCAGGACAATGATCCATGCTGCATTCTTGTTCTGGAGTTTCAGAAGTAACATTTTGATTTGCTGCAGTGTCAGCTCTCCTCCTTTTCCTATGGTACCTACAGTAACAGCAGAAATGTATAGTTAGACTAATCCATATCTCAAAACAGCAGCTGTAGGCACCAAAGCTTAGGCAAGAGAGGAAAACAAAACAAAAAACGACTGAGAGGAGGGCAACTCTAATCTTACCTGTCCATCTTTGCATTTGGGTTCTGGCTTTGTTTTGTGTACATGAACAAAGATGGCACAAAATCAGGACTACTAGAGTCCAATGATGCCTCGCCTGAAAAAATAAAACACAAACACGTTTGTTTAGCCTAGCAAGCTACTAGGCAAATCTAACGCCAGCTTATCAAACTTTAGCTGCATTTGATTATTATTCTACATCATACAGACAATCACTAATGTAAACAAGGCTTTCCCGTAAAATCAAAGAGTAGGCTAGATCAGTGGTTCCCAAACTTTTTGTGCCCAAGGCACACCAAAGGACAAGTACAAATCTCAAGGCACACCTATTGTGCAAAATAGCCCTTATAACACGTGTTATCACTCATATCATGTAAAATATCTGTAAATGTGCATAATTATTTACTAATGCCAAATAAAATGTGACAAAGACAACTATATTACTCATGAAATATTTATTAACGAAGTATTTCAGAAATTAATTTGAAACGTTATCAAATTAGGCTTCATCAAAGCAGCAACACACATTTAAACCAGACAGGTCACAAAATAAAAAATGAGGCAAAGGAAACTCAGCAGAAATTCAGCACAGAGAACTGTCAATGCAAGGAAGCTGCATTGTCCATGGTCCTGAACTACAAATTATAAATGTAACATTTCAGCAATCAGCATTGAAACATGTGCTATTGTAAATATTTTTGCCGACTAACAAATTAGTGAGATACATGTGCCTGTCGGGGCGCGCAGCATGTTTTAATCCTTGGTGGCACTGAGGAGAGGGTAACTCGCAAGTCCTGTTCAACAGAGAGCCGTGACCTCCTGTTGTTCTTCATGTAAATCAGAGTAGAGAACGCCAACCCCAGAGATGGGGTCGTTACAAAAAAAATGTAATATATTACATATTACTTTTTTAAAAAGTAATATATTACACTACTTCGTTACTATCTACATAAAGTAACTCGTTACTTTACTCGCGGAGCACGTATGAACTGCGCATGCGTGAGTGGCAATAACTTTCCTTACCAGCAGTAGTGTGTATTTGTCATTCAAAACAGGCAACAACCGGAAGACAGAGAAGAAGAACAGACTACGTGATAACAACAAACAACAAATAGCGTGTGCGGTAGCTTCACCTTAGCATGTGTTCTTTGCAGGTGTTTGTTGAGGTTTGACGTGGTGTTTACAGCAGTGGATAACAGCTTCTGGCCTGGACACAGTTTGCACCTCACCGTCACATTCCTGTCTATTCTTCGGACGAACTCAAAATAATGGGCATACCTCCGCCCCTCGAGAGTTATCGCTGACTCAGCCATGTTTATGCAGCACTGCACGTGGAGATGTGGACGTGCAAGTCGCGCAGATTACGTACATATAAACCTACAAAGTACTGATATAGTAAATTTAAAATAATTATTTTTGTGTAGTTGTATATTGCAATAATAACGTATGGTTGTCACAAAATCCCACGGCACACCCGGACTTGCCTCGCGGCACACCGTTTGGGAACCACTGGGCTAGATAACCTCATTACCTGATATAAAGTGGGCGCTGCAGACGCGAGCATTTTTGATTATGTCCTCATTCCAGTCCACACGTTTAATCGCCTGCAGCCACAGACGCCGCCGGTTGCTCTGAAATGGTCGTGGTCCTCTCGGAATCCTATACAACTTTAGTCCGCCGGTGGAATAGCGATTCGTACAACCGTATACGCAACAACCAGACATGTTGATGCTGGGTACAGTTTGTAAATGCTTGCTAACCAGTTGCTACCTCGTCTTTGTCATTCAGAACTGCTGGAAAACAACACCACTTCCGTTGCCCACATGCGCGCGCAACTTTTTGATGACGTCGGCTGTAAAAGGGTCTATAACATGGCATGGTGTAACATATCAAAATGTTCAGTCTCTGGTCTTGCTAGAAATGCAATGTCACTCAACAATATATTAACATATTAGTTACTGAGTTACTGAGTGGAACGAGTGGTGTCATAAATGTTGTATTTAATATGTTAATATATTGTTTAATGTTACACTTCACACAAGTCACGACTGTTTGCAGTTAATGTCGTTGCCATGTGTAACGTTAGTTTATATAATGTGCAGCGCTTCAAACAGTGTGCTGCCTTAAAGGCATTTTATAATGTTATAATTTGTTTGCAGTTCAAAAAGTCACCACTAGGAGTGCTAATGGTATTGTTATTTTTAAGTTCGCCGTTCTTAGCCTCACTTCCGGTTTACGGTATCGCCACTTCCGGTTTAGCGTTAGAGAAACGGCATGGTCTGAGAGAAGAAGAAGAAGACCACAGACAACAGACACATGGCAGCAACTTTCCCTCTGCTTAATTCATTTCTCCTGTTCAACCGGTTAGTAGTGTGTACACAGATTATGTCATATTTCGATCTAATAAGTGTCTTTGAAACTGTTTTATGTGTAGTTTAATGTCATTATGTGAGCTACGCTACGCGTGTGGCTAATGGCGTCCGCTAGCTTCTTTAACACAGGCTGTTGCTCCCTGAATAATGTAGCTCTACTATGTTACTATGTGTATGAGTCCCGTGCACTAGTCTGGCTTACATTTCAAGTTTATTCTGTTTGTATAAATATGTGAAATGCTGGTCTGAGGTCATAATTGTTCATATTATTTAAATCTTAAAGTGCTAATGCTACGCCTCACTGAGGAGAAGTATTGAGGTAGAAAGCTGGTGAAGCCATTTCCTTATATTCTGTTTGCACAGATAATAAAGCTGGTTGGCAAGAAGGAAGTCATATTCATTCGACCACACAACACAACGCAGAGATACATGTGGCGTCAAACCAGAGAATGATTAGATAAATAGAGAAAACGGATATAATTTGTAAGTGAATTTATTAATACATTCTGGCTAGGACAACCACACAAACGGCAGCAACTTTCCCTCTGCTTCATTCTTTTCTCCTGTTCAACAGGCTTATTATCTGATTACCAGCTCTGCACAGCGGACTTGTAACACTAGCAGCAGTGGAGATGGAGCATCAGAACCTGGAGAATACAGCAACAACAACAAGGATCCATTTGAAGATAGGTAAATGTAAATATTACAGTAATAGTGTACTTTCATTGTGTGGGTTTAGTTAAATAGGTTGTAAGAGAGAGAGACTCCTGTCCCACCTCCCCATTTTATTTTGAGTTGTGCATTGTTATTTGTGCTTGAGAAACATTCCACTTGAACTTTATATTTTAATGAACTTAGTAGTAATTATTGTCCTATATTTCTTTCCGATTTCACAGCTGCCTGGGCCTAGCAGCAAGAACCTCCATCTGTACCTGCACCCAGGTCAAGATCTACCGTGGCTCAAGGGCCTTCACCTAGGACCAGAGGACCAGCATCACTACAGCAGCCTCCATCTCCACCTGTGCCTGCCACAAGATTAAGATACACCTCGGTACAAAGGCCTCTACCACAGCCATCACGATCAACCCAGCCAGCAAAGAAGTCTCGTCTAGCACACCCAGGGTTCGTACGGGTGCTGGAAATCCTTGAAAATGCTTGACATTTTACGAGGTGTTTTCAAGGTTTGAAAAGTGCTTGAATTTTGGGAATGGTGCTTGAATTTGGGATAAAGTGCTTGAAATTGTAAATGCTTTACTTCGCTTTTTAGATTAAAAGAAAATAAAGAGGTCGGAGCGAGCTTAATTGCTTCGCTTTTACATAAAACAGCTCCGCTCCGGCCTTCCTGCGCTATGCGCGTGACCTGCAAGTGTTTGTGTTACGTGTGACCTGGGCATTCTGATGAGAGTGATAGATGACTGTATGCCAGGAGGTTGCAGTTTCAACGAGCGTTGGCTAGCAGAAGGCAAATGGCTAAGACGAGGGTCAAGCCCACGAGTAGCCTCCTACCCTAAAAAAATAATTTCAGTTGTTCACGATGGGAGAGTCTGCGCTGACGAGCCACATGAAAGGTACGCCGTAGTAGAGCATTTTTGAATAGGCTAACGTTGCATGTTACATTTGTTTAAGCTAGCGTTAGCAAGCTGAATAGCGAACTCGATGAGGGATAATAATAATAATAATTGCAGGGGACAATCATTTCAGAGGAGCGTACCTATGTTAATATATGCGTTACAGTCACCATCCTGTGGTGGATGAAGCACTCACTGTTATAATTCAACCCAGTCTCACGGCATTTAGTGTTATAGTCACGAAATATAATCTATTGATTCGACACAGAACGATTTTGAAAGCAATGTATTTCTACTGGTAGTATGTTTCGTGCCTAAACCAAATGTGACTTGCTCTATCAAAATCAGTCACATTGACCCGAAGACACATTTTCGTTTGTATTACTGGTCTGGGGGAAGCTCGCGAGTGTGTTTGTGTGTATTGTGTTTGTGTACCGGGGAAACACTCACAAGAAACACCGGCTGTTGTTATGTTTCTAGCATTTACATGTAGAAAACCTAAAGCTTTACGAGAGCAGAAGTCAGGGAAACTCAGATCATTGTGACAAAGATTGATATCAGGACACAGGTCAGAACTAGGGCTACAATAGAAGGTCCAGGATGAACATGCACATTGCCCGATATCATCAGTAGTAATACAATCAGAGCACGGCCAAGAGCTAGCAGTGAGTCACAATGCCTAGTTTGTTTTGTGCGCACATTGACAGTGGAATGTAGCGTAATCATCTTGTGTAGAGACCTCATAATCACACATGATAGTAGTGGCGGTTCGCATTTGTTATGTGCAGGAGGGGGTAGGGAGGCGGCGAATAACGCAAGGAAAAAGCAGTACAGTTTGGGATTAGCCATTGTTAGTCCAATGAAGGTAGGAAGCAGCACTCACCCAGAGGTCAACAGTCCTTGGTTGTCCAAGTCCTTGGTTGTTTATAGCATAAAGAACATCTGATTTAATGTGAGGTAGGGAACTAATCATTTGAGTATAAGTATGTGTTTATAAATATGTAATTTACAACAGCTGTAAGATGCTTGAAAAGCTTGAAAATGCACCTTGAAAATGCTTAAAGTGCTTGAATTTGACTTTGGAAAAGGTGTAAGAACCCTGACACCTCCCTCCCTCCCGCCGACACAGCCACCAGCAGCCCATGCACCATCACCCCCACAGCAGCCAGACCCACTGTCTTGGAAGACAGACAAAGACCATGGCACTGCTCCCCCTGTCTTTACATTTATAATGAATAGTTGGTCGAGAAAGTTCTGATATTGTCAGGGTTCGTACAGTCATTAAAAACCTGGAAAAGTCATGGAATGCAATATTTTTCCCAAAGTTTTGGAAAAGTCATGGAAATATAACTAAAGTTGCATCAAATATAATTTATATGTTATCTAATTGCAGAAATAGTAATACTATAATTGTGAGAGAATATTTTAATCTGATCTTGATTGTATAGAGTTTCTCATCTTTTCTTAGAATCTGTGTTATTGCAAACATGCTTTGCGTTAAAGTCAAAGATCCTCTCTGTAAGTTGAGGTCACAGGTCAAAAGCTTCTCTGCCTTTCCTGTGGGGGAGGGTTTCCTGTCTCCATGCATTTGCGAGACAAACAGATCATTGTCCCAACATCTGCCATTGATTAGGTATAGCGCGGGCTTCTGTGGTTCCGCCTCTTCTCATGTTGGTGCGTGGTGTCTCGCCTTTGTGGCAGAGTTGGCCAGGTTTCGTCTTGACAAGGATCGAAGCTTGGCTACCTCCCCGGCTGTATTAAATCTACTCTTAAATAAACTCTCAGTGCTGTGGCTAAAGATGAACCAGACTCCATAATTTCACCTCAACATTGAAAGACAGAAGTTTTCTTCACACATTTGCGTCACGAACATCGTACCAAGAAATCTTCAGAGCTGGTAAGTGTGATTTCAAATCTATATTTGGATATTGCCTTACCAGACTCTGTGATTGACGGTATCAAAATTACCTGTGAAACTGAGCGGATGCACTTTTTTTTTTTTGTTGGTCTCTCTACTCTTTACATTTGAAGGCATAATTATAACCTTGGAAATCGGTGTCGAAAGGGGATTCTGTCCTGGTCGATTTTCCCTGTGATTGCTGCTGGGGCAAGTGCCCACAGAAGCAAGCACAGCTCTTGTAGAAAACAATAAGAATATTTGGGGCTAATAAATAACCTCGGAATATCGATTTTGACCGATTTCCTCTGTGTGTGTTTTCTGGAATTAAATTACCAGACAATTACACACGGCAAATATTCTGAGAGACCTTAAGGAGAGCATCAGTAAGGTGGAACTTCTGTTTAAAAGCAATGTGAGGATTTGTATTGAAACGAATAGCCGAATTCTGGAGATTTCAACGGTTTAACTAGTTAAATCAATCCACCTTGAGTTTCGGCTCAGCCTGCACGAGGGAGGGCGAATTTCCCCTCCCCCCTGTGGAGAACGGCACACGAGGGAAACAGAGCACAGGGTGGTATTTTGCTAATCACACCATTATAAGTTTTCGAACCAAACAAAACAATTATTAATGGGAAGGGTGATACCAAATATTACATCACACTCCATCCATCCATCCATCTTCTTCCGCTTATCCGTGGTCGGGTCGCGGGGGTAGCAGTTCCAGCAGAGAGCCCCAAACTTTCTTTTCCCTGGCGACATCAACCAGCTCTGACTGGGGGATCCCAAGGCGCTCCCAGGCCAGCGAAGAGATATAATCCCTCCACCTGGTCCTAGATCTACCCCTTGGTCTCTTCCCAGCTGGACGTGCCTGGAACACCTCCCTAGGGAGGCGCCCAGGTGGCATCCTAACTAGGTGCCCGAACCACCTCAACTGGCTCCTTTCGACGCGAAGGAGGAGCGGCTCAACTCCGAGTCCCTCCCTGATGACCGAACTTCTCACCTTATCCCTAAGGGAGACACCAGCCACCCTGCGGAGAAAACCCATCTCGGCCGCTTGTATCCGCGATCTCGTTCTTTCGGTCATGACCCATCCTTCATGACCATAGGTGAGGGTAGGAACGAAAATGGCCCGGTAGACAGAGAGCTTTGCCTTCTGGCTCAGCTCCCTTTTCGTCACAACGGTGCGGTAAAGCGACTGCAGTACCGCTCCCGCTGCTCCGATTCTCCGGCCCATCTCACGCTCCATTGTTCCCTCACTCGAGAACAAGACCCCGAGATACTTGAACTCCTTCACTTGGGGTAAGGACTCATTCCCTACTTGAAGTGGACAGTCCATCGGTTTCCTGCTGAGAACCATGGCCTCAGATTTGGAGGTGCTGATCCTCATCCCAGCCGCTTCACACTCGGTTGCGAACCGATCCAGTGAGTGCTGAAGGTCGCAGACCGATGAAGCCATTAGAACCACATCATCTGCAAAAAGCAGTGGTGCAATCCATAGTCCACCGAACTGCAGACCCCCTCCCCCACGACTACGCCTCGAAATCCGATCCATGTATATTACAAACAGGATTGGTGACAAAGCGCAGCCCTGGCGGAGGCCAACCCTCACCGGAAATGGGTCCGACTTACTGCCGAGGACCCGTATTCCCAGGCCCCCTCCAGGATCCTTGCGAGAGTAAAAAGCTGATCCGTCGTTCCACGACCAGGACGGAATCCGCATTGTTCCTCCTCAATCTGAGGTTCGACAATCGGCCTGACCCTCCTTTCGAGTACCTTAGAGTAAACTTTCCCGGGGAGGCTGAGTAGTGTGATGCCTCTGTAATTGGCACACACCCTCTGATCCCCCTTTTTAAAAAGGGGGACCACCACCCCGGTCTGCCACTCCTTCGGCACTGTTTCCGACTTCCACGCAACGTTGATGAGACGTGTCAACCATGACAGTCCCTCAACACCCAGAGCCTTCAGCATTTCCGGGCGGATCTCATCCACCCCCGGGGCTTTGCCACTGTGGAGTTGTTTGACGACCTCAGTGACCTCCCCCCGGGAGATTGGTGTTGATCCCCCGTCATA